CATGAAATATACCCATGGACCGAAAAGTGGAAGGTTGGCGCCAGAACAGATGGAACAAAAAAAAAACACCAAACACCCCATCCCCCTTTTTTTTTCACAAACACAACGAACTAGTCTCTTCCGCAGATGATAGTCCGGGCTAGATTAGCAATGAATTCATCGCGTGATACGCATATGATGACCAACCTGTGTTTCGTCTAGGCAATCCCCGCGCAGCAACATCTCGTGCCATGTGGTCAACAGGCTCTACGACACAATTTGGTTGTTATTTTCATTTTTCTGTCTTGCAGGTGTCGAGGGCAACAGCTTCTACACGACAATATTACACATTTTGAGTTTTCTGCCCAGTTTTTTTTTTTTTGCGTTTTTCTTTAGTTTTTTTCCCTTCTTTTTTTTTCTTTTACAGGTGTCGAGGGACGGTCAGCGGCTGTGCACCACGTCGGCGGACAAGAGCATCAAGTTCTACGACGTCGTTTCATTCGACATGAGCCACATGATCGCCCTCGGCTACACGCCCACCCGCGCGACGTGGATCCACGAAAGGGGGAGGAAGGTGCGGTACAGCAGTAGTGGACCATTTCGCAGTGCTTTTTTCGGGAGGGGGAATTCTGCTGAGTGTTGATTGTTTTTTTTGTTTAATCATTTTTCCTTTTTTCTGCCATGAATTCCTCGTTCATGCCATAACGTTTTATATCGCCATCGCGTTTTTTTCGTATTTGTATTATCGGTTTGGCCACGTCTCTCCGGGGTGTGCAGCTTGTGTAACCATTGGCTGCACTTGATACTACACCTCCTGGAACTATTTCCGAATCCCGTGTACTCCGCGGCCAAGAGGATGCCGCGATACCGCAATGGTGCGCTTTCGGAACGCCCAAAGCAAGGGAATTCCCACACTACTTTTCCTGCGTCGTCATCGCTGTTTCTACTGCAGAGCAGTCAAGCTTGAAAATCGGTCATCAGAAGGGGGGTGCAGTATCTTACGTCACGTCGTGGTGATCGTGGTGGTTTCGTTTTCATCCTGTTTTGCTAACATTTGCTCTCGGTGGTTTCTATCCGCCGCGCGGTCTTGCGTCTCCGACCGAAAGCTTGGACCCGGGTGCACCGCAGACGGGAATTCCTGCAGCACGGTGGTGTCCACCAAGGGAATAGTCGATCAGTACTGCTTCTGTTTTCGAACCAGATTCCTATGTTCGCGTATGGTTGATACGCGGTTCGATGGCGTGCACTTTCAGCCCCCGTGACGGCATTATTTGGCGAAGGCGGCGAGTTGCTATCTCCACGGCGAGTGTATTGAGCGTGCCACCACTTCAAGTATCTGGGGGTAAAGAAGTTCAGACTCAGAAAGATCGAAGCTTGACAAAACTTGACCGTAAGAACAGGTGCTCAGTTAAGCATCCTCTACTAAAACCTCTATTGTCAAATAATCCTACACTACAACCTATATTGTCAGAAAATCCTACACTAAAACCTATATAGTCAACTATTACTACACTACAACATATACTGTCAACTATTCCTACACTACAACCTATATTGTCAGAAAACCCTACACTAAAACCTATATTGTCATATATCCAGACTATAGTCCTATATAGTAAACTATTCCTACACTACAACATATATTGTCAAATAATCCTACACTACAACCTATATAGTCAGAAAATCCTACACTAAAACCTGTATTGTCAAACGATCCTACACTACAACTATATAGTTAGATAATCCTGCGCTAAAACCTATATAGTTAACTGCTCATGCTCACCACAGAGAAAGAAGAAACTAGCCTCAGGTAAAACAAGCGGTTTTTTGTGTGGTGGTTCGTTCTTTCTGTATAGATTCCAAGCTACACTTTTCCCCCGACTACCACACATTTCAACCTCACACGCGTCTCAATTCCCCGTCCGTAGTCCTCGAACTGCAACCCTTTCTCATTGTACAATCATGCTTGCTTGTCTTGCCATTGATTTTTCGTCCGCAAAAATGAAACTTACAAGACAACAGACAACATTCCATTGCACTCCTACCCTGTACAACGGCAATTTTCAGCATCGGGCACGCGATAAGTATATCCGATCATGAACCATGTGGGTTCCGATTGTTTTTGGCGTGTTTTTCCTTTAATGACAGGGGAGAGTGGCGGTGGCGGATGCGGACTCCCCCGCGATACGAGTGTACGTGTCGGACGGCTCTACGGACGCCGTGGGGCAGTTCGACGGGCACAGCAGCCCCGTCCTGTCGTTGGCGTTCAACGAGCCCGCCAAGACGGTCGTGTCCGCTGACAGGTATGCCGTGCGTGTGTGTTGTTTACACTTCTTTTACAACAATGTACCCGTTCGAGATTTAACTTTGTTGTGGGCAGCATCGACAAAGGTAACCGGCTGAGTGATGAAAGGGAGATGTCGGTCCCAGTGCGGCTAACACCGGAACACGCCTCCTAAGGCCATGCTTTGGGTGCGGTAACGTGGTTTGTTGGCGATCAAACGAGCCCACCAAGACGGTCGTGTCCTCTGACAGGTGTGTCGTGCGTGGGTGGGTGTTGTGTGTTTCTTATTATTTTTTGTATTACAGTATCGTTGACCGTGTCAAACGGCCGAACGATGGAAAGATGTCGGCCTCCGTGCTGTTGAAAACATAAAATGCTTCCAAAGGCCATGATCTGGGTGAGGCTATGGGTACCTTGATTTACCCATGGTATTAGTTATCGAAGTATTCTCCGTCCTTTCGGCTACTATGTCGACTGCCAATGATTGATTACTTAGGAGCGGCGTGTTGGAGTACTGGAGTGCGGAAGACTGCGGACGCCCCCCTGCGGGGGCGGTCAAGTTCAAGTTTAAGATGGACACGGACCTGTACGATATGGCCAAGGCCAAGACACGGCCGTGCAGCATCTCCTTCAGCCCAGATGGGAAGAGCATGGCCGTCACCGCCAGGGACAAGCAGGCATGATCGGTGGAGGGGGGATTGTGTCCTCATGCTTTGCATGCCTTAGCGGTTAGACCATTGACCACGCGTCCTCCACAGGACGGAGCATTGGACCGATCACGGGTGACCAATCGTTCTTACCTACTGAGCTATAGGTGGCCCAGGCGTGGGTTAGGTGGGGGTGGGGGGTGGTTATAAATAGTTGCTTCGGCTGCCCGTGCTGCGGCTAGTTCGTATTTTTCGGTTGTGGCGTTGGTAGGTTACCAACCCTACCCCCCTAGCCCACCCTCTCCGAAACGAAACCATGGCCCCTCCTCTTGCTTTCGGGCTT